TCTCTCTCTCTCTCTCTCTCACTCTCACACACACACACACACACACACACACACACACACACACACACACACACACACACACACACACACACACACACACACACACACACACACACACACACACACACACACACACACACAAAGTTATGACATTTATTTACAACCAACCTCACATACAAATAAACAAATGGTTAAATAATTAAGCCCTTACTCTCAGGTGAGTAATCCACAGCTTCAGGCTGAGTGGCACTGGAGCCTGTTATATGGCGTGGCTGGCTCAGGTCTCCCTTGGTCCTTGCTATCAGATCTAACAGCTCAACATCATCATCATCTAATGCTGGAAATAACATACAAACTTCTCTAAATCTAAAGATGAATATAGCACTTATAAGTAAAATCATAAGCTAAAGCAGAAAATAACTTTCAACAACAGCATCAACATCTGGGCTTGCGATAACGCTCGCCAAATTAGCAAATGTGAAAATAAATCGACTTTGGGGGAAAAAAAAAAGTAATCTGTTTTCCCTGTTTTGGCAAAAGCATATATGGCCAAGACAGGTAATTAAATTTGCAGTTACTACTGGTAACAAATGGTATATAAACATATCCTGCTACATTAAGAAGACTCTGCACTATAATAGAGTCTTTTCCACGAAATCGTGAGCATGCGCAGTTCGCGCCATTTTGTGAGGGACTGTTTCTCAGGGGGAAAGAGTAGAAGGCACTGTGAGTAGAAGGGGCCTTCAGTACTTTTGAAGTATACCCCCCACCCTGTAACTTTCTGTAACTTTCACTTTTCAAACAGTTTTTTACATTTCATTGTGTATCTATGGGCGTATTCCCAGACATTTAGATCGATCTATCCCCGTGGGGAGTCTCACTAGATTACTGTCAGATAATCCGGCTTAAATGTCCGTCCCGCCTACTACAAGCTGTAAGGGGGTAATTAACTTTCGTGCCCGCTCGGCTGACAGCTATTTAGTGTGAACCCCTAGGGAGTTAGGTCGATCTAGTTTGGATCGATCTAATCTCTGGGAATGGGGTCTATGTCAAAGCTGTTGAAATAAAATGCTTTTGTAATTACATGTGGACTTTTTATTAGTGTTAATCACCTTTAATCCAGCCCATTGAAATACAAAGTTAGAATCTTCAATTTACACCCGCAGTCAATAACTTGCCGCATTTTCGTTGGCTAACTCTAAGGTAATTTTATGTGAACAAGTAGCTCATAATAATTTCACAGAGGAAATCCAAGTATACAATGTATCAATCCTATGTTCACATAAAATAAGGTAGAGTTAGCCAACAAAAACGCAGCAAGTTATTGACTGCGGTTACATTGTAAATTTTCACATTGTATTTCAATGGGGTGGATTAAACGTGATTAAAACTAATAAAAAGGCCACAGGTAATTACAAAAACATTTTACTTCAACAGTTTTGACATAGGTGCAAAAGACACTGTAAAAAATGTTTGAAAAATGAAGGTTTCAGGAAGTTACAGGGTGGGGGGTATACTTCAAAAGTACCGAATGTCCTATCTTTGCTGTCGATGAGGTAAGTTTTTAGTTCTTTCATTGAAAAGTCATCAGGTACTTCTGCTTAATTTCTATTCCAACTGCTCCCATGAATGTGTTTTCGAAAAAAATCAAGTGATAACATGTTACGAAACTTTGAAAATTCAGATTGAAATGAGCACTCCTCGATATGGCGTCCGTCGTGTACACTCCACACTTTCCCCCTGAAACTTCAAATCCCGCAAAATCTCGCGTTCCCACGGATAATTTAGCGGAAGACACGTGACCGTGGAAAAGACTCTATT